CTTTCTTTCTTTCTTTCTTTCTTTCTTTCTTTCTTTCTTTCTTTCTTTTGTTCTCTTCTTTTCTTCCTTCCTTTCTTCCCTTTCTCCCTCCCTCCTTCTTTCTTTCATTTTCTTTTTGTTTAATTTTTTTTAAGGTTTATTTATTTATTTTATGTATGTGAGTACACTGTTGCTCTCTTCAGACACACCAGAAGAGGGCATTGGATCCCATTACAGATAGTTGAAGGCCACCATGTGGTTGCTGGGAATTGAACTCAGGACCTCTAGAAGAACAGTCAGTGCTCTTAACTGCTGAACTATCTCTCCAGTCCTCTTTCTTTCATTTTCTGAGATAGTGTTTCTCTGTGTAGCCCTGGTTGTCCTAGAACTCACTCTGTAGACCAGGCTGACCTCAGGGAACTACCTGTCTCTGCCTCCTAAGTGCTGGGATTAAAAGTGTGTGCTACCTCCACCTGGCTCCTTCCTTCCTTTCTTTCTTTCTTTCTTTCTTTCTTTCTTTCTTTCTTTCTTTCTTTCTTGAATTAGCATACAGAGTATTAGATTTCATTATAGCATTTTCAGATAACATTGGCTACTTCCCCTTTCCTGTTTTTTTCTACATTCCCCCTATCTTAAGCCCTTCTGCCTCCCAGGAGCCTCCCTTCCACTGTTGTGTGATAACTTTTTTCAAGTCTAAGTTTAAAAGCATAATGTACCTAAGAATATTTTTGGTGGTAAAATTTGTCACAATATTTTAATATACATATTTAGCACTTGAAAAACTGACTGTGTAGACTAACAATTGGCTTTCCAAGTTCAAATAAATTCTTTTAAGAATCTTTTAAAGTCAGCAAGCCTAGTTTCTTTTTCAGAGTGAGAAAGTACAAAGGTGTTTGGAGCCGTGCAGACAGTTGTTGGAATGTGGAGGCACAGCATAGCAGACTGACTGTGTGAGATGAGTGTAGTGTTAAACAGGAACAGAATCCTAAGTATGTATTTGGGAAACTCTGAAGCTAAAAGAATCTTTCTGGAGGGGCAGACGGGTCCATTGATCATAGAAGACGCTTGGAAAGTCTGAGCTAAGGACCTTGTTACTCCTCAGCACCAGCAGCTTGGAGTAGTAGAGCTGGCCTTGTCAGTCCCTCATCTCTGACAGTCAGGCACTTTTAGTGAAGACAAGAACTGAAAAGCATGGGCCTGCCATCTGTCTTAGGGTGTGAACGCATTTAAGTAGGACTTGCAGTCACATGCACAGAACAAGTTATTCATAAGGAGGAAGAGCGGGAGTTGGCTGCCAGGTGGGCAGGCACCCTTCCGAAGCCTTTGGGCCCGGGAGGGTGTTTCCCTGGCTGTGCTAGACCTCAGATCTGTCTGTCTCTGCCCCTCCAAGTACTGGAACTAAGGTGTGAACCACCACTGCCTGGACCACAACTCTTAATATATAATTTAGGACAAATATTCAGCTTTAATTAAACTTACATGTAAAAACTAAAAACAAAACAAAACAAAAAAAAAAAACAAAAAAAAACAGCAAAAGAAAAATTTTAAGTAAAATTTATCATTATTTTTCTTTTTTAATATTTGGGTTTGAATTTTCAGTAATTCCATATAATCCTTCAAGTCATGAGAGTTTGGACCAAGTTGGTGAAGAAAAGGAGGTAAGATAATTTGTCATACTATGTATAACATGTTTAGCTTTTTATAAAGACATATTAAGAATATAACACTTTGACTTGCTTAGATATTAGATGATAATAGTAAAATATAAGGAATGTATTTAATGATTTTAGAGTCCTATTTTGACTTTTTAATTAAATAATTTTAATTATGAAATAATTTGAAATTTTATTTTCACTTTAAAATAGCATAAACAAAAATTACAATATATGAGAATAACATTTAGTAATTGATAATATTATTTGAAACATTGTAGACTCTTCCACTTTGTGGTCTGATTGCTTATTTTAAGTGTCAGTGATTAAACGTCATCATGAGTATCTGAAACCTTGTCTGTGTGATGTGCAGGGGTGGGATGGGCATGCTGCTCTGACACAAGACAGCTGTGTGGAGTAGCTGCTCTGTCCACCAGTGTCCAGACACTTTGTATTCCGCCTGCTCCACGGCCACTTACCTTTTTTTCTTTCCTATCAGGCAGTTTGTTGGGGTTTAATATTTATTTATATGTGTGTCTGTGTAAAAAAGTGCCATATATGTTCCGGCAGTCATGGATGCCAGAAGGAAGGGCCTGTCAGATCACTCAGAGCAGTAGTTCCAGGCTGCTGTGAGTTCCAGGGTGCTGAGCTCGGATCCTCTGTAAGAGCAGTGTGTTCTTAACTGCTGAGCTGCTTCTCCAGCCCATCTATTTATTTCTAAGACAGAAATTAATTAAAACAGTAACCAGTTTAGACAGGCTTTTGGTGAAGAAGTTATATCTTACCTATTGGCATGGAGGCAACCTTTGCGGCCATTTCTAGTTGTGCTTATAGCTCTGCTTTTCGACTGTGTGTATTTCTAGCCATGGAAGATTATTCCTTACCTTTTTCTTTCTCTTTCTAGTGTTTGATGGGTATATTATTATTATTCTTTCTGTGTTTTGTGCATTTGGTGTTTTGATTATTATGTGACGGAAGGTATTTCTTTTTTGGTCTAATCTATTTGGCGGTCTGTAGGCTTCTTGTATGTTTATGGGCTTCTCGTTCTTTAGATTAGGGAAGTTTTCTTCTATAATTTTGTTGAAGATATTTATTGGCCCTTTAAGTTGGGAATCTTCTTTCTGCATTTTGCATTTTCTTTGACAGCTGTGTCAATATTTTCTATGGTATCTTCTGCACCTGAGATTCTCTCTTCTATCTCTTGTATTCTGTTGGTGATGCTTGTGTCTATGACTCCTGGTTTCTTTCCTAGGTTTTCTATCTCCAGGGTAGTCTCCCTTTGTGATTTCTTTATTGTTTCTACTTCCATTTTTATGTCCTGGATGGATTTATTCAATTCCTTCACCTGTTTGGTTGTGTTCTCTTGTAACTCTTTAAGGGATTTTTGTGTTTCCTCTTTAAGGGCTTCTACCTGTTTACCTGTGTTATCCTCAAATTCTTTGAGAGTGTTATTTATGTCCTTCTTAAAGTCCTCTATCATCATCATTAGAAGTGATTTTAAATCTGAATCTTGCTTTCCTGGTGATATGGGGGATTCAGAATATGTGGGAGAACTAGGTTCTGATGATGCCAAGTACCCTGGGTTGCTGATGCTTATGTTCTTGCACTTGCCTTTCGCCATCTGGACCACCTGAGATACCTGCCCTGTCTCTTACCGGAACCTGTCTTTCCTATTATCTTGGTTGTGTCAGAACTGTGTGGGGTGGGTGTTACTACTAGGGTTAGAGCTGGGGCCCAAGATCTGCTCAGTGCTCGGGCACAGGCAGGAAGGAACCAGTGCTCTGGGCCTGGAGTGAATTCCTGGGTCCCAGTGGGTCCCAGTTACTTCCTGTTTGGGGCGGGTGTTGCTGTCTCCTTACCTATGATACTGCCCAGGTTAGAGCTCCTGGGAGGCCCACTTCCTCTGGGTTTTGTGAGATTGGGTGCAGAGCAGCTGCCCTGGATTTGCTCAGTGCCGATCCCAAATTTTTAATATGACATCTTAGACTCTCTTTCTAATTTAGTCAATTACTTTTTGTTTGTTTTCATGTTTTTTTTTGGGGGGGGGGTCAATTTCTTATGTATCCCAGGCTGCCCTGGAACTCCCTGCATACCTGAGGATGTCTCAGTCTCCTGATCCTCCTCATTCTACTTCCCAGATGTGGGATTACAGATGTGCATCACCCTGCCCAGCCAGCTGCACACATATGCCCACTCTGCTTATCTATCTCCCTCCCTCCCTCCCTCCCTCCCTCCCTCCCTCCCTCCCTTTCCTTCCCTTCCCTTCCTTCTCCTTCTCCTCCTCTTCCTCCTCCTCCTCCTCCTCTTCCTCCTCCTCCTCCCCCTCTCCCTTCCCCTCCCTCTGTCTGTCTGTCTGTCTGTCTGTCTGTCTGTCTCTTACCATGTTTTACTTTTAGAATGCCAGGGTTGTTAACGTTGTAGGTCATTCTGCCAACTGTAGCAAAACCTTCCTTGTTTTGTTGATAGGCTGGATGAGTCAGACAAAGGAAGAAAGCCCTAACAATAATGCCTGAGACCTCTGTTCTGGGCCATATGTTGCTAATGCTTCTCTGACCTGTTCCCCGGGCTCTTTTCATTCCTTTCTGCCCCTTTTAGAAACTGATGCTATTTTGTCACCAATGTTATCCTTACTGCTTGGGTGCTCGCTCTTGAGATTTGTAAGACCTTTTAAATGACAGGAGCACGTGTAGCAAACACCCAGACCATGACATACAGCTAGATGAACTTCCATACAGTGAACACTATGTAATGGCCTCTCAGAAGGAAGATCCACCAGCACTCCACAGCCTGGCTTGTAGCTTCTGGTCACCGGCAGTGCCTTCTCCCTGCTCTAAAAGTAACCATGGCCTGTGCCCCTTGAATTACCTTTGCCTTCATTTGCTCTAGTGCTTTGATCATTTTGTTCCAGTATAGAAACAGACTTTTACAGTATGCAAGACTGCTGTCCTGCGGGGCACATAGATGCGCGTGTAGAACAGTCTGCCTCGTTTGTATCATTTCAATCTGTCTGTCCCGCTATTCAGTTTTCCCTCCTGTTGGCATTATTATGATGAGGAAACAAGTGGCCCTGCTGCTGAAAGCCTATCTGTCATCCCAGCCACCCAGAAGGCAGAGGCGCAAGATGTTAAGGCCACTTGGCTACTGAGCAGGCTCAGAGCCAGTCAGAGCCAGCCTGGGCAGCCTAATGGAGACCTGTGTCAGAGTGAAGAGTGAAAAATGGGCTGGTGCAGTGTTTGTGGTAGAACAGTAACCTAGCATACATGAGATCCTGGGCTGG